GTTCCAAATTATAAAGAAGGGAGTAATAGGGACTGGTTCTGAAACAAGCATCTGTTTTCTTACTCCTGTCAAAACCATTTACCTTTATTTAGTGTGAAGTTTGGCTTCTACATTAGCAGAGCCTATGATACAGGGTATCAGTATATGCCTATGAGAATTGCCTGAGTTGCACAGCTATCTCTGGTGTGCCTGCATGTCCAGTCTCACATATGCTGCAGGTTCCACATATGTTACCAACAGCAGCAAATAACAATGAAAGATGAAGAATAATTAGGTTTAAGGAATGAGGCATAAGACTGAAGAAAATCCGAATGCATCGAGACATCCTTGAGGAGATCTTGGCTTCCCTGCTTTGCTCTCATGCCTGCTTGGTCCTCAAAAGCTCTGCCCCCACCTTCCCTCTTCCAGCATCCTGCCTTTGGGCACTGGCACCACCAGAACTGGCGACAGGATGGAAGTCACTGGTACGACTCAACATCCCAATTTGCTCCAAGTGCTCAGCTGCTGCTGCAAGAGCAGCCCGTACACTTCTGGAGCTTGTTTCCCCCGCAGGAAAGTCAGGATAACTCGATTTGCTGCTGTCAAGGAAGAGGGTGCCAAGCCAGGAGATCTGCTTCTGCTGAGCCCTTGGCACTGAAATCCAGCCCGCGGCTCTGTCATGCCCTTTTTGTTGCTTGGATTCACGAGGAGCCTCTTCCTCTCCCTGCACAGCTAAACTGCACCACCGTGGGAGGCTTGAACTGTGTTTTAAACAGGCTCCCTGCTGTTCTGTGTCACATTCTTTCTTCTTCTCCTTCCACAGCAATTTCATATATATTACATTCTAAAACAGAGGGCAAACTCCAGAAACGAGCATCCTGCACACAATTTTCCAACGTTCATGGCCAATTTGCTGCATTCTGCTGTGAATTTCATGACAAGGAATTCAGAAACTATTAATATTGTATTTGATCCCTCCTTGTTTTTCCCCTGTACCCACCAATGCTTGTGTATTTATAGTATGTGAAACAAAGAGGGGGGGTTCTTCAAATTCCAAAATCTTCCTTCTTTTTCATTTTTACATAAATTAAATTAACTCTGACTTCTCAAAAACGCTGACTTCAAGAAAAAAAAAATATCATTTTAGGAGGATAACTGATAGCACTACAACAGAAACACTAATTAATGTATTTAGTCATGTCCAGGGATTGATCTAATGAAGACTTTAGATTTATTTATGTTCCATTCCCATTTTTACTTTTCAATCTTTTTGGTGATGTAAAATAAATGGCGTGTTAGATTAGCTTCTTGGCTTACAGTGAGTATTACCATGTATTTTCTCAGAGTGAGGTGCTCTGCAAGAGAGCACTAAGGATAATCTTTAAAGTCAGGATAAAGTTAAAATTCAAAGAAATCACTCTGTCTTTTAGTTCCTCATTCTTTGCCAAATGCACACATACCTTTATTTTTATATATATTTGTTTATATATTTATACATAAAAGTCAGAGGCACTGAAATAAAGATTTTCTTTGATTTAATTTCAAGAAAAATGTCAAACATAGACATGCATCCACTATCCTTTCCTAGATATCAAAGCTACTTTCAACAGAAGGGTCTCTGTCAGCCAAAAATATAGTCTGTTTCCATACTGGAGCTAAAGCCTGAAAAAAGCTCAGAGAAAAAAGAGGGAAACAGTTTTCATGGCCATGTACCAATTTCTACAGAATGAAAGATGAAAGTATTTTTGGTTGAATCAGCCGGTATCTTTTAATTAGGAGAAGCATTTCCAAAAGTGTCTATTTGTCTCTAGGAACACAAGTCTCGGTCACTGACTTCAATTTTGCAACAAAAATTATACTATGACTTAGTGACATCTTTCACAAAAATGGATCGATTTTTCTTTCATAAAAAATGCAATAAAACCTGACTTTCAAGTCATTTGGCCTTTTATTATAATATATTACATCCCATGCACTGTCTTGATGACATTTACTGTTTCCTGTGCAGGATCCCACAGTATGTATGAGTTGTCCGAAGTTCAAAGAGGGCAATCATTAAAATTTGACATTTATGTCAATGTGTGCACAGGGAGTTTACCTTTTCATTAGCTGCACATATATATTTTTTTTTTTCTGGTGGAAAAAGCTGATTATGAAGTCATGAAAGACTTGGAGTGATTTTGTGTGATCCCAGTTGAGACTAATGGGTAATTCTATATGATCGCAACTGAGATTACTGGGTAAAGGAATTGATTAAAGATACTTTGTTGTTGTTATTGTTGTTGTTATTTGCTGAGTTGTCAGGAGGTGTTGAGTCATGCTGTGAGAAGTTCGAGTGCTGAATCTTCTGCTGTCATATACAGAAATGTCACGTTATATTACATAGCATGCTGAACCGAGTTAAAAAAAAAATTCTTTGTACATCATACGGTGGTTTGGTAAACAAAACCTACCAACTTCACAAATCTGGTCTCTGTCCAATTGTATCTTATTCTTCAGGCGTGATAGGCTCAGATTTTTTTCAGTGCACAAGTCCTAGCATATGTCTTTCTCCGGATGAACAAACTGATTTGAATACTGTAAGGATATGACTGCTGTCAGCCAAGCTGTAATAGGTCTTTCTTTAGTTGCAGACGTGTTTGTTAAACTCCGCTTGAAAACAAATTGTACCTGTTGCATATTTTCCTTGTTTGACCAGGATACAGCAGTCCAGCAAATTTCTGCCACTCAACTCATCCCAAAATACTTTTTGTAATTGCACTGTGACTTACTGAGGAGACAGAAAGGTAATGATGGGATATCCAGAATCAACTTACAGACCCAAGGGAGTTTTATGCCTGGTCATGGCATGAAGTGAGCATGACGAGGAATGCATGAATTTTTGTGGTGAGTTTTATTTTAGCCAGTTTAGCTGTGTTGCAGTGAAGCCAAAACCCCATGCAGGTGAGTCTTGGCTGGCATACAGCTGAGCTCTCAGGAGGAGAAACTCTTGTGCAGGGTTCCAGAAGGAATGAGCAGTGAGGGCCATCACCCAGATTAAAAGACAAGCTAGACTCTCCAGACCCTTAGGAGGAATATTCTTCAAGTCTCTCTATACTCAGTGGAGGCAGTGAGTGTTATATTCATGTAGTATTTTCTCAGCACTGCAAGTACAACCAGCTAGACCACACCATGCAAAGGGTGGCTGCACATGTATGAGGAGTCAGACAGCAAATGGTCTCAGTGCATGTGTTCAGGACCCTGCATTCTCTTATTTAGGCTCGTTTAAGAAGCTGAATATGCATTAGACAAGTGGACCTAAAGATCTCTGCAGAAAGGTAAGATGGAAAACTCTATACAGCCAAGATAAAGAGGAAATTCCCAGCTCCTAAAATCTCCCCAAAAAAGCAGTACATTTACATTTACATTCTGAATTTCTATATTTGCTAATAATTTCATGCCTAATTTAAAAGAAAAAAAGATTTTTTTCCCCCTCTATGTTTTTTTGTTAATCTGATTCACCTCAGAACTGAGAGGCCCTTGATAAGACTATTTCACTCCACAATGCAATTCCATGAAAGCATAATGGGCCAGCACATTAAGCCCTTATGTGTTTTCCAATCTATCCCTTTATAAAGATACAATCTAATTTTTGCTATCATATTTACCTAGAGATCTCTAGTGCATATGTGATTGAAGCAGATATTCTGAAAATTCTTTTATACAGTATGTATACGTAATTATTACAGTAAACATTTTAAAAGATGCCAAAACAGGGGAGGAGTTTCAAAAGGTTTGTGGCTGCAGGGAAAGGTTTTGCTTTGCTCATTTTCCCACTGCTTCTTCTACTAACCAGCCTGCAGCTTCCAACGCGCTGCTGACAGCCACCTTTCAGATTTCTATACATCTCTTAAAGACAATTACTGAATTTACCCAATAAGCCAGACTAGGAACATCCTAATAGGTGTGTGAAAGGCTAACAAGCTGGAAGCCTTTGAGGTGGTGTCAGTGTCTCACATCTCTTGATGTCAGTGGGTTGATAAAATTGTTACTAGTTCAAGAAGGCACGCACCCATGGTTTCTCCTTTCAGTCGTTCCCTTCAACCAAGGCTAGATAGTTAAGGTCTTGTATCTCAGATGTGGTAAGTGGGCTGAAATGTCAGAATTCACTCCTCAGGAACTTCACAAACAGGAGAGTTTGTGTTGCAAGGAGGATCGAGCTGTTAACAGTGGGAGAAACTGGCTCATTTCCAACCCACCTATTTATTATTATTATTTTTAATAAAAGGAATGCCATATTTAGCCTCTTTCTACCTATAACCTGAGCAAGACATTGATGAAAAGATAAGACTTCTTTTAAAGTTTATTCTTTCTTGCAACCACCAAGCACGATGCAGCTGTTGCTCTGTCACGTATGGTCTGGCAATGCTCAGCTGTGAGGGAAGATATCCCACTCCTTGTTCAGCCTGGGAAAGTGCTCGAGCCTGTGGAAAAAGTCCAAAATGATAGCCTCCTAGCACTGAGTGGAGTCAGCCATCCTTGATTCCCACCAGGATGAACCACCCAGGCTGAATGGAATGATTTCAGCTACAGGTAGCACTTGGTGTGAGCTCAAACAGCACAACTCAATACAGAGCTTCCTAGAGTAATCATAACTCTAATAATAAACTCACCAATTTTTATGTTCAGTAAAACTGTGTGTGTACCCATTATTACAAAAGAAATCATGCAATAATGAATGTCACTACCACTACAAGCCATTAAGAGTTCAGGAAAACAAAGCAGTACAGGGCAGTAATCTAGGACAGCATGTAGAGATTAAATAGTTGACTCTGAAAGTATCATTTGCATAGAGACTGCCTACTGAAATTGAGTGTAAACAAAGATACTGGTCCTGGTATCTGTGTAGAAAACAACTTGCACTGTGTAAAGGTCTGGGCTGCAGATGGATGCAGAGCAAAGAGTGCCACCTACAGAACTGCTGGAAATAGTTACTTCAATGTATTATGTCCCCTTTCCATTTGCAGACCATCTACGATGATGTTTAGTTAGCACCGTCTGGTGAGATTAAATCCAAGCTGCAGTGCTCTCAGAGCCAATAAATTAACTGAAAAGCGAAGCAATGTGAAAGCAAAGCTTCTAAACAAAAGACATGTTTGAAAAATTTGCTAATACTGCAGTTATAAGAAATCATCTTGCCAGCTCAGAACAAGCCTGCTTTGAATGCACACTCTTCCCACGTGTTTGACATCATAATATGGCACATTTGATACTTGCACAGAATCCACAATACACGAGAAAACCTCAGAAACACTCCTGCAGCATTTAACTTTCATAAGAGCTCTTTGTGCTACAAGCTCTCAATGAAAAGAAGCGCCAAAGTTAAAATCTGTGCATTTCTTCCTATTTTGCCTCCATTAGTTGAAGCCCAGAAACATGCTGCTCAGTGAGGTTAACTGGATGGCAGCTTCCTGGGTAACTAGGGGCTAGTTGGCAGTTTGGAAGCAGATGGTAGGTTAAATAGTCTCAGCTGGTAGGAGTTTTGCTCTGGCCTTTTCCACCTCCCTTTAGGCTAATACAGGACCATATTGCGACAGGAAGATTTGAAGTGGTGGTCAAAAAGTACAACAGGCATTCCTTATCCACATGCAAATATTTCCCTATCCAGCCCGTAAATGGCTGTCATGCATTTAATGATGACCACACTGATAATGATAATAATAAGTCTGGACCGTGAGCTCCAAATTGTATTAAGAAATGTGCAGTTCTGGGGGTGTTTATACTCAGGTATTGGGTCTATGATAAAAAATGAGAGGAGGCTGCTGTGGCAGGGGAGAGAGAGGAAAAAAAAGATCTTTCCTTTTGTATCTGACGTTTGCAAAAAGTTTTAAAACCCTTGGGGTTTGTGTGTCAGATGGCTTGCATATCCTGAAAAATCAGACTATTTGGGGCTGAACCTGGTCAGTCTGCTCAGCTACTGTGTGTCTGCCAAGGTTTGAGCCAATAACATATTGCAAGAGCCAGGGTAGTAATTATACAATCTGATCTCTGCATGCTACCAAAATACACTCATAGCTAATGATGGCAGTGCTACCATCATTTAGCAGGTTGAAGAAGCGTGCCATATTTAATGTCTGCTCATGAGATCACTCTCCTAGTCTGAAAGAGATTTAAGACACTTAGAAATGTGCAGCTACTCCTTTCTGCTCTTTTCCAACTGCTCCTGGTCATATTGAGTCTCTCTGCTCTATCCCTCAAATAAACAGGAAAGCTGCTCTCACCGCTCATCTCCACATCTACGAAATTACTTTCATGGTGGCTGAGTGCTCTCTGCTATCCAAATTTCTCTCTTTCAAAAAAAAAAAAAAAAATCCCATTGCTTTCATTTTCTTGTGCTACTGAGCTGAACAAAGATAAAAGGAGTCAAATAAAGATTATTGATTTATTGTTATCATTTCTCATTCCTTCTCCTCCTTAGAGGCATTGTTGCGTATTTTATACAAACACATGCAGCAGCAGCAACGCCATGAACAACTCAGCTTTGTGACTCTTTGCAAGCTTGAGTTATCAGCAGCCACCTGTGCCATATGCTGAACTGAGGAATTAGTGATTTGGAAAATTATCCAATCCATACTATCAAATCAAGGGAAAGATCTCTTGTTTGCTATTACTCCCTCAGAGCTTGGTGCTGCTCCTTCTTGCATTTGATAAAATTCAGGTATAGAACTACAGCACTGGACCTTTACAGTGACAGTTCACCGGGCTTTATAAGTATATTCTCAATGCCACAAAATATGATAGAATTATTACCAGGGGGTAATTATATTGATTTTTTTTTCTCCCTCAGGTTCAAGATAGGTTGTATAACTGGGAAGTTACCGTTACATTCCTATTCTTACCATGCATACAGTCCAAAACAAAAGGAAAGCTGGAAATTCAGTGTAGCAGAAGCTAACATCCTCTGCAAGGGCACTGATAGCTAGAAAATACAGCCTTCTCACATCTCCTAGAGGTGTATTATGAGACAACTTGTCCAGAACCAGAACATGAGCAGTCATGAGGCCTTAGAGATGACTTTCCAAAAGAGATATTAACATGGATTTATTAAATGTTTCTATGAAGGGCAGAAAAATTAGACCCAGTCCACAGCTTGAATTTCTTTTTTTTAATTATTTTTTATTTTTCAAACCCAGAAACTTGAAAAAAACCCTGGCATGGCTTAAAACTCAAAAAACAAAACAAAACAAAACAAAACAAAAAACCTCACAAACAAAAAAACCCCGAAACCAAAACCAAAACCAAAAAAAACACATAGAAAATAGACTTTAAGAGAGAAAACCCAAAATACTGAAAGGCACCAGTTACACTCTATGAATGCAGAATACCTACCAACATCTTGTAAACAACTGGGTGCACTAAAGTTTTCAGAAGAACAGAGGTTACATTATTATAACTAAGTATCCAACTTATGCTGCAGCATGTCTTTTATTCCAGATTGGGAATAGAAACTGGCTACCACAGTTCCCCGGTTAGGACAGACACCTCAGGCTGTGGTGAAACATGACCTTTATAGATACCTAGCAAAAAAACATTTAGGAAACAGATATAACATCATGACCTTTTTAGATACATAGCATAAAACATCTAAGGGGAAAATCCTGCCCCTCTTCCTTTCTGCCACAGAAGGCACGGACACAGCAGGAGCTGCCCAAGGGCCGGTGGTGGCACTGGGAGCTGCAGGTTTTACTGAACCCTGAGATGACAGCAGCAGTGGGACTGATTACACCAAACATTGCCACCTACATGCCTGTTATTCAGGCTCTCCCTGCAGCTGCTGGAAGCAGGCAGGCAGCTCCAGAAGTGGTGTTTAAAATAAAGGTCTAAAGCAAAATACAGGAATTGTAAAATATAATTCCTGAATTGTTCTTTGGAGGCACTTCTGTTGCTTTGTCTACAGAGGGACTGCTAATTTATGATGAGAGTTCACTCGGGTGAATGGCACCTCAAGGGATGACACTTATTACACCCTCTGGTGACAAGGGGCTGCTTAGATTGCTCCAGCACACAGGAGAGATCATATTTTAGTGGAATTAGTGTAGGACACAGTATTTCCTCGACCAAACAGAAGCCAAGGCTCAGTGCTATTGCTCTGTGCTTTTGCTTCTTAATGGAAAATAATCGTGTAAAACTGGAATTAAGTTTATGTCTGACTTTTGTTTTTCTTTTCTCCCACGAAAAAAAAAACACCATAAAAAGCAAAGAGGAGTTTATTTTATTGAGTCTGAGCAATTAAAGATGTAGCACAGCTAATGACAGTGTTTTGCTGCTCCAGTGGTCCTACCACAGGCAATCCCCTTCCAGATACAGTCTGTAGGGTATTTTTAGCAAAACAACGCCATGTTACTGAACTTTCAAAGGAAAATTTTGGAGGAATGAGAGCCCAAAGGCTAATCAGAATTGGAAAAAGAGAATTGAAATAAAATCCCCAGGAAGGAGCAGCACTACTCACAGAAGTGTGTGATGAAAAAATCAGGAAAAAAAAAAAAGAATAATCTTTTAATGGCAAGATTCAAGTGGATAGTTAAGTTAGGTGGAAATTAATTAAACTTTGGAACTGAAGAGTTTTGTAGAGCCCCATTGGAAGTCAAGATGCTGAAAGAGAAATATCTGATTGTCTAAAATTATCTTAAAGTCAAAACCAAGTAAGAGATAGTTGGAGAACATCAGAATGAGGAGAATGAGAACAATTTGCCCCAGACTATGAAAGGTTAATGAAGCAGCTAAGGAAGAGAAAGGTCCATCTGAGAAGCCAAATGATACTTTACCTCAGTGAAACAGAAGACCCTTGCTCCTTTCTACTAATTAAGAATAAATACTATCAAAAGAGAGGTGTCAGGCATTCTGGAACAAATAGCAAGCTTCTGAAAAAGCATCTACAAGTTATGTGAAATGTGTAGAAAATACACTCTCTCTGCTTCTCTGATGTGTGCAGCATACTGTGTTATATTTAAAATCAGTTCAGAGATACAGAATCACTCCTGGGGATTCCTGACCAGTGGATGCAAATGACAGCTCAAATCAGAAAAACAAAGCACTTGGAAGATGATGATAATAAAGGGAGTAATCAGTGCTGGTTTTGTGAAGAAACATCATACCTTGTTTCAAGACTATAGCTCTATGTGTTCTTTTCTAGAAAAGCCACCTTAAATGCCCCAAACTGCCATTTCGACTCCCCTCACATATATTGTAATGTCCTTACAACAATTGTGTCACTGTAATTGTTGGAGAACTATTACACAAATTAGATTACAAGTACAATAAATTCCCTTAAAAACTATATTACATATTTAATTTTAAAAAGATTGTATAGCTTAGCTCCCAGAGTGTTTACTATACTGGATGCAGTAACAGGGGCATAACAGCAAAAGCAAGCAAGATCTTCTTTAAGTTTGGTTTAGTGCCGAAGAAAATGTCTTAGAGTTACAATCTTAGAAACCTTGTGACATGTTGATGCAATACTGATTAAAGAAGAACCTTTTGACAAAGTTTATTCAGATTGCCAAAATAATTTTTCAAGGTCTGTTGCAGGAGAGGAGTGTAGCTAAGAGGTTATAAAGCAAAGAGGAAAACTCTGCCCCAGAGAACAAATGACCAGAAGAGAGAAAACAAAGAATATGATTAAATGGTGCATTTTTATCATGGTGAAAGGCTAATGACAGGGCATCCTGTGGTTACTTTCTAGGTCACTGGCTATTTAATAGATTCATTAATAATCTAGAAAGGGATGGTGTGTACATAGGCAGCAAAACAGGCACATAGTAATTTTTCAGGTTATTCAGGACAGAGAGGACAGAGAATTGAGTTCAGAGTTTTACCAGAATATAGGTTTGTCTTCTGTTGACAATTTTGTCTTAAGTTATCACCAACCAATACAGTATTAAAACCACAGGGCTGTTTCATAAAGAAACAATAGTTTCATCATCATTTAATTCTTTATGAACTAGAAGTTACTTTGACTTCACCAGATAAGCCTACAAGTTACACATATTTTTTATTTCCTGTTCTCTTTTTTCTTTTAGAAAATCTCCCAGAAAAGAATATACAGTT